ATGCTGAGCTCATGTATCTATCTAATTTTATTTCCAACTAAGATAAGTCATCCTTCTTCATCTAAGAAAAAAACCAAGTGAATTAAAATGAAAAACATATGGACAATTACTCAGAATTACTGAATCTTTATTGATAAAGTATAAATAATTGGGAACTTCTTTTGCATAAGGGTAGTATGAACAATATGAAAAAACCTGACTCTTCATGATATTTACCGTGCTTCCAATCCTTTCTGCCTGTGGGTTCTAGGTGTACCTTGTTCTATTGTTAATTTCATGCACAAAATCAAAGTGTATTCATTTCTATTGTTAACAGCTTCTTTAACTGTACCTCCATCTAACAATATTTTACCAAATGTAGTGGAAGATATGAGCCAAGGCACAATATCTAAGCTCAAGGAGCTCATAATATATAGGCTGGAAGATACTGGAATCTATATACATGCACACCAAACTGACACTATAAGGTAACATATAGTACATGCCATATAAGTAAATATATATACTTCTCTGAGAGAGTTCCAACACAGAAAAAGATTGGTGTAGACTAAAGAGACAGAGAAGGGAAAGTTTAAGAGAAGTGGTGGGATTTGAGCTGGGCTTTTAGGCATGGGTGGAATTCACATAAGCAAGGAGGTGGGTAACATTCTAGATTGTAACAATAAAAGGTATACAAGTGGGAATCAGAAGAATATATAACGCATACAGTTCAGAGTCAAACAGTCAAAAATGAGAAGAATTTGCATTTCATCTTTTTCTCTATCCCCAATAAATCTGTGAAGTATGACATCCTCCCATTATTAACAGTGGCAGTGGAAAACAGTAAAGATTTTCACATCTGAGAGTCATGATACTAAAATTGGTTTAGGAAGAAAGGCAAGAGAGGATGGGGTAAGCGCTTATGATCTGACTTTAAAATTTTAGATGTTAGGTGATAAGGGTGGCAGTAGTAAGGACGAAAAACACTGACAGAAACTTCAAACTTGAAGCCAAGTTTTTAACAAGGTAAGATTCATTTTAGACATACTGACCTTAAAATGATAAATACCAAAATGGTTAACTGGAGATGTGGGATTGGCACTTAGGATGGTTGAGAGCTTAATAAATACTCGGGTATCATCAGCATATGGATGACAGGGGGTATGGAGAAGCAAGGAAGTCGGGGGGACACAGAGAGAGAGAGAGAAAGGAAGTCAGGGGGAAAGAGAGAGAGAGAGAGAAAGGCATACACATAGAGTCTGTCTGAGTCTGCCCATCTGTCCCCGGCAAAGGCAACAGAAGCAAAGGATCAGAGAGGTAGGAAGATACCTAAGAGAATACAGCCCAAGAAAGCAGTAATCAATATAGGAAGGACCAAGAGATTTGGCCTTAAGATTACTGCTGGCTCTGGGGGAAAAAGCACAGTGGTATGAGTAAACAGGAGACTGAAAGGGTTACTGAAAGGATGGGAAGGGAAAAAAATGGCCACACAAAGCAATAAAAGCAGAGCAAAACAGGTTGGTGGCACAGAGGCAGCAACAGTCAAAACAGGGGCCGTTTTCGAATTGGGGAGTCCTACGTGCAAAATCCTATGCTGACTCTGATAGAAGTCAGAGAAGAAAGAGCCTGAAGACGAAGTGAGGGTGATAAGCAGATGACTGTAGAGTATAGAATAATAAAACTAATCAGAACATTTACTGAATGCTTAAATCACTCTGTGATGCACTTTACCTGTATTACCTCATTTTATTATTATACCAGTTCTTAAATGCTTGGTATTTTTATTATCCCATGTTACGGAAGAGAAAACTAAAGTATAGAATGGTCAAATTCCTTAGGATCACAAACCTAGGAAGTAGCAGAGCCAGAAACTGAATTCAAGTTTGTTTGATATCAAATTGTTGCTATAGGATGTGAGGACAATCTGGCTGAGACATCTGTCACCCCATTGATTGCCAGGGTTGATTCGGCTGATCTGGCTGGGTAGGCGGGTGTCCCCTTCCTCCCTTACCACTCCATGTGCATCCCTCCCAAAGCTGCGCACTGGGTCAGAGGGGATGACCTTCCCCAACAGAGGAGGACCATTCTTTGGTCAAGGGTATATGAGTAGCTGCACTCCCCTGCTAGAACCTCCAAACAAGCCCTCAAATTGTTGCTATAAACCTCTATGTAAAACTGAAGGAAGAATACTTATGAGGGTAGACCTCTGAATATTTGTTGACTAGTTAGAAGAAAAATTTTAATAAGATTGTAGATAAGCAGTTTAAGGTAGGAAAGAATGTGGGTTTACCTTCTCTCCTTACAAACAAAAAAAACCAAAACTATAAATGTTTGAGATAAAATGTCCTTTCACAACTTTTTCCCCTTGGAATTGGGTCACTTTGGGCCTAATTTTTCCAGAGAACTTGATCAACTAGTAGTGTATCTCATACGAGCTAGTGATCATCTCATGAATTAAATTTGAAGTCATCTTCAAGAAAAAAATCTTGAACTAAAAGTTTTCAAGATGATAAATCCGTGGGAACACAGACAGGAAACAAAAATTTAGAAATTAATTATATAGCAGATTTTCTACTTTAATTGAATTAGAGATTATATAAATATAAAACAAAAAAAAACAAACTCAAACCTTTTGGCTTTGAAAGTTTGGTTTCCGTGCTTGAGATATGAGCTCCTATAATCACTATTTGTGACTTTATTATTATGGAGAAAAGCAAGGACACTCAGAAAAGCCAAGTTTGGATTGAGCAGACACTCACTGACAGGCCTAAATTTCCCTACTTCTCTTTCCTGTTGTCTTTGTTTTGGCATTTCTCATTAGCACCTCCATTAGAAAGTGGGGAAAGAAATAAGCAGTGAAGTATACTTCCTTTGATTCTGTTTTCATTAATAGTTCTAGTAAATTATCTTTTGCCAGGGAAATCAGAAAATAAGTACTGAGCGTTGGAGTTACTTAACAGACTTTAATTCATTACCGATGGGTAAATCGGAGTTAACTAAAATTAGGTAATGAAATCTACTTATTACCACTTATGGTAAGTTATCTTGTGTTTCAAAAAATTAGAAATGATCACTAAAATAAAAAGTTTTAATTACTTGTAGATTTCAATTATCCATGTCATTCTTAGTCTAGTGCCTCATTACCATGGGTAACACAGAGATACCTATATCTGGGTTGAATAAGTAATGAGCCTACTAACCCAAAGCTTTAATCCAGTGTTCTCTTTCAACGAATTCATGTTCAACCATTACTACCTGGTCTATCCTATCCATGCTCTAAGATGTCTTACTTAGACATAGAACATCTTAATGCAAAAAACATTCAACGTTTTGGACTTCCTGCCCCAATCACAAATTTTGGATTTCGCAAAGCTTAAGGTTAACATATATCTTACTATAATCATTGAGTAAAAAGGACAAGCAAATCATGGAGAAATTCTGACTGACAACATATTCTGTTATGAAAAATTTCTAATATAAGAAACCAAATATTCAAGGATAGCCCATTTAGCCTAAAAGGAACAATGTAAATTTTAGTGCTCTTCTAAATTGGCTGTTTAAATTCACATCCTCAAAAGACACCATAGGAAAAACCAACAGGTAGAAGTACTCAAATAACAGACCCTACTGTCTATCATGAGATATTATGCATTTTAAAACAGTAACTGGCTAAATTCAGCAGCTGTCCAAGATTATATCAGTAACTATATCTATTTTTTCACATTGTGAAAACTCTTGTAGATTATTTTATCTTCCATTCTTAAACTATTTTCAGCAATAACTGCTTAAAATTTGAGACTCTTCAGCATTTCTCAAAAAGCTCAAAAACTGCACAAAATAATGTAATTCAGGTAACTTACTCCCCCATCCCTGCCCAACCTCACTGCCAGAAAGAGAAATATACTGGTGATGATCTCTTGACTTTTGCATTGCCTTTACAAAAAATGCAGTAAATATAATAAATGTAATCACCCAACCAGAGAATAAATTTCAACAAGAAGTCTCTCTGGTTTCTTCCTCAATCCTTCAGTGAGTCATTCTCCTCACCCTAGCAGAGTCTACCTGATAATCTCTAATGCATATCCTGCATCAAAACAAAACAATAGATCTAACAATTTAGAGCTTTCACCTACTTAAAACTATTAGGACAAGCAGGGAAATCCAATATAGAAGTAACACATTACAAAATGCCCATCTGTGAGCTTTCACTAGCAACTGCTACCAGTGCTTCTACATCCCATCTCCTGTATGTGCTAGTGCAGCATTCAGGCAACAGTACCCCAATAACATGGCCACATGTACTGCTTACTGCTCTAAGTAAAATACTGCCCAATTTTTCATACTTTTAATGTTTGAAACACCCCGCTCTTTTGAAAAAATCATTTCCCAAACAGAAACAGGTTTTATTATCTTTTCTCTTTGTGAAATGAAACTATTTAACATAGCACTTAATAGTAAAAATGGATTAAATCTCTTCATGTCAAAGTTTAAGATATACTAAGTATATCTTAATAAGATAAGCTACTCATAAACTGCTATTTTAGATTGTTCTATATCATCCCCTACCCTACCAGATTATGAGAAACAGTCCTTTAACACACTAGGTCTCCTAGCTAACAAAATCTCACATGCATGAAAAAGCAATTTGGTTTTTCACGATGATGATGATGATGATAAGATGATCTCACTCCTTTAATTTCACCGGTGCAATAATATTCACACTGTAAGTCAGTCAAACTCACACCTTTAATGATATAATATGCAAGTAAATATCATTTAAAAAATACTTTCAAAACTAGAAATCTACATGAAAATACTGCTTTCTCACTGCAGTGCAATCTTCGCAGGCCAGAATTCAAAGCAAGAACAATCATTTTGCAAAAGACAAACATTTATATCACATAAATATTAAGTATTCTCTTGATCTAATACCACATCCGTCAAATAGTAAATGATCCTATACATTTAAAATGAATAGTCCTACATCAGAACTACAATACTGAATTTTATGGTTCACTTACCTGAACCTCGCTTGTCCTCTGTTTAATAGTATCTTCTCTCTCCTTAAGGTCCTGTTCCACATTATTCTTTTCCCTAGAAGACCAGCAAACAATGCAAGAATATTTGAGAACATCAGCTACAGCTGGTATGGTTATCCATCCTCCTAATCCTGAATCGCTTTTTAAATACATAGTGAAACATTCAATTTTTAAATGAAGGGCAGATTTTTCTACCCTCTTCTAATTATTTATGGAATAGAAATCAATATAAGCTCTGTTTGTAAAAAAAAAATCGCTTTCTCACTAAAATGTGGTGAAAAAAGAATAGATTAAAAAAGGAAGAGGAGAAAAATAATCAATGAAACACTCAGGTTTCACTGATCTCACTGTTGCTATGGAAATACTGTCCAATGAAAATTTTTGGTCAAGAAAAGGAGGGCTTGCATCAGCTCTGTAACGTTAACCCTTAAGTATCACTGTCAAATTAAATGAAAATGGCTAATAGAAACAGTCAACAATATTAAGGAAAAAGACATTTATTGAAGCGTTAATTTCCCCTTAAATCACTGGTGTGCATCAATTTTAGAATGAAACAACATAGCGAAAATGGAAAAGATTGTTAATACATAGGCAATTTGCTCTATCAAATACCACATCTCCTCAAAAAAGCTATTTTAGGATCACATATCAAACCTGATTGATTAAATATATCAAACAATGTATACCAAGTAAAAAAAGAATCACAGTAGCATTTATCTCCTCTCCTCTTCAAATCAAACATGCTGGGCTCCACTTTTACTTTGAAACATCATATCTAAATTCTTATATGCTTCAATCACACCTGGGTTCCTATGATTCAATCCCAAGCAACCTTAGATCCAGAATTACAAAATAAAGCTATTTCTTTTGATGTAACAAATTTAACTACCCATTTGTACTGAAATCACACTCTCTCTCTCTCTCTCTCACACACACACACACACACACACACACACACACACACACACACACACAGCTCCTCTTCACTTTCTTTTCTACGAAATAAGAAAAAAAAAACCCATAAAATTCCGCAGTACATTTTTGGGGTGGGGGGAAATGTAAAAGAAAGCAACATGGAGAAGGGAGGATAGCATTTAAGAAGTCCTCCAGACTAGTATAGCAGTTTCTCCTTTGAGCTTCATGACTATATTTCAGTTTCCGTCCCAGACATAACCTAAAATGTAAGCTCAGGCTCCATTTAGCTCTAGCATAAAGGGAAGTGAGAAAATTATACCAAAGCAGATACTTAAGGGACAACTGCATGCTTCATTTATATTTCTCACCTTTTTGAGGTGAGATTTCAAATGTAGACAAAAATCAACTATTTTGGATATGCAGGCACAATGTTCTTAAGATTTGTATGGAAGAAAGCATAGGAATAAAGCTATTTGTGTACTGTTACTTCTGAACACTTGAGATGGCCAAGGAGCTCACTAACCGTTTTGTCAGATGGGTCACAATGTGGGTGGTGATGTCGCGGAGATTTTAAACAGTCCCTTACCATGTGAATCATTGTTGCAGCCAGGTCCTTCCATACCTCAACCTATTTATTATGCAAAGGCCATCTCCCACCTCCAACCCTTATTGAATTAGGTGAAGTTGAAAAATAGAAAAACAGGGAAAAAAATCTGAAAATACCAGAAAAATTCTGCAAGCTCAATCTTGGAAATTTTTTCTTTCCTCCTTATGTCAGCAGATGAGTGTTTTCAGTCTTGCAGCAGCATGTTAGAAATAAGTCACATGAAAATCTAGCCCCGTATCCCAATCCCAAATCCTCAGAGGCATTCCACACAAGGTCAATACCAACTCAGCTCCTCATTTCAACAGTAGATAATAACAAAAATAGAAAACATTACAGTGTCACAGATTAGCACTCCACACGTTTGTATTGAATTCTTTCTCCTCTGCTGTTAACTGCTGTCACTGACAGTGTCTGCTGAGATCAAATGTTCATGCAGGAAAATAAGGCTGCAAAGAAGGCAGTGAGCTAAGTCAAAGTAGCCAAGACAGAAGAATGCGAGAGCAAAGGTAGGAAACACAACTGGTGAAAATGGAAAACAGATTACAAAGGACTCTCAGCTATTACCAGCAAACACAGTATATCTTTGGATAAAATGGAGGAAGCTTGAAGAGTATAAATTTCTCTTCATAATCTGGGGTGTATGGGGGAGTAAGGGGGAGGGAAGGAAGTGGTGGTGATGTCTCCAAACATAACCTGAAGACCATTCCCAACTAAATAAAACATAGGGATCTTCAGGCATTAATTTCTCTTACTACAAAGAATAATTAAATTTAAGTTTTGATTCATGTTTACCTAATAAAATTTTGGTCCATAATAATTTATTATCAAAACCAAGTACTATAACATATATTAATAGACAACTTTAAAAAAATTAAATATTCAGTTGTATTACTTTCTATAAAAAGCATTATGACCAAAAACCTGTCCTATAAATCAGATGGAAAGTCGAATAATTTTCTCATTGACTTAGATTACAATTTCAGAGATGCCAAATTGTTATTCTGTTGTCTTACAACAGCTCTTAACTTCTATAATTATTCTTCTCATTTCAGGCAAGTAAAAATATCTAAACATACATTTAGGTACACTAAGGATGCTTGGCTAGATTTCTTACATTCTCCCCTCTTTTGAACAATATGTATTTTTCCTACATGTGATGGATGCATAATCAATACAAAGCATTCTGTTTAACCTTAGTAATTTTAAAACTTCATTCTCTTTTCAAGGATCTGTGCCACAATAAAAAGCAATATTTATATGCAGCTTCCCAAGGAGCCCCCCAATATATGTGGAAAAGACAGATGTAAGATATAATTCAAAAATAGGTGTGAGTATTTTGCCCAAGCCACCATTCATCCCAGATGTCTTGACAGCAAAAGCTATTGCTTTCACCTCAGTAATTTACAGAAAAGGGAAAAGAAATGATCCTATTCACCCCTTATTTTTTACTACCTCCCTGGCCTTATCCACTCCCAAGAGGCTTGCGCATCCTGAGGAATCCACAAGTACCAAAGCTATAAAGAGAGGTCAGGAATAGAGCTCTCTGGTATTCCAAAAGTTAACAGTGCTGATTCTGTGGAACCTAATATCGGAACCATCAGGGATAGCAAAGTCCAAACTAGGCTTTCAGAAGCCTAAGGATGCTAACTGCATAAACCTAGTACAAAGTAGTCAAAAGCTATTCACAAGGACAGTCAGGCTGAGGGACCTTGAGTCCACGCAATTCACTTCCATTTTCCCAGGCTCTGTGTATGGGGAGTAGGGAGTGAGCCATCTTTGTTTTGATAATTCCAATATTATCATAGAGACAGGTTTAAACCACCTTCAAAGTCCTTCCCATATACACTTTTATGTCTTTTTCTCCAAACATAAGCATCCTTTGTTTTATAACCAGAAAACAATGCAAACTAAAAACCATTGGAAACTATTATAGAAAGCTGTGGAAACTCACAAAACTTTATTTTTCAATCCTGAGACATATTTATAAAAATCTTTTTGGGGTACATTTAACCATAAAAATGCTCTTATTACTAAGTAGCTTAACTGTCAACCCTTCTTACAAGCAAATAGAGAAAGGCAGGATATTCTCATTATACAGTCTTCAAGTAAGGCATCTGCGTCTTACGGAGAGCAAGAAGATGGAACAAAAAACTAGAGACCTGGATTCCAGCCTGGCTCTGCTGAAAAACAGTTTTTGTGACTCTGATTAGGTCACTTAACCTTTCACAGCCTCAGTCTAATTTTTCATACGCAGATGCTAATCTCTACGATTTTAGGATTTATAAGGCAAAATGTAGAAGATGTCATATAACTAAAAGAAAAGCAGCCTTTGAGCCTAAATATTAACATTATTCAGAATTTTAAATAATGTTGATGAAATAATTTTTAAATTTGTTAAAAGGAATTATGGGTTACAAAAAAGGTTAAAAACATTGATCCAATAGCTATAGAATAAATAACATAATCACATATATAATTAAATATCATTCAAAATAATCTAACTACTCTCTACTTTTAGAATCTCATTATATGGTTTTTAAAGCATAGGATTTGAGGAAAAATAGTCCAGAATTAAAATACTGGCTCTATCACAGATTATCTTAAATCACTGTAACAGCTATTTGTTCTGGCTGACCCTCCTTTCTAGAGTCCAGCAATCCTTTTAGGAGATTACTCTTCTTTCTCCCTAAAAGAGAGATAGACCTAATGTCTTTCTACTCATATATTTCAAATAGAAGATGCCACCTAGTAATAGACTCTACCTCTCTGAGCATTAATTGGCCAAGAATTGGTTCCTGACCAAAGCTTAACCAGTCACAGCACCCCACCTCACAATCACAGTGATTAATTTAAGAATCAGCCTGTGACCAAAGCCAAGGCAATCAGAATCTTTACCTAGGCTGCCTTTATTTGGAACTAATAAAAAAGTACTATTACCAGTAGCATATCCACTACTACTACTACTACTAATAATACATTACAGAAGCTAACATTTATTAAGCATTTACTACAGAATTGGTATTATATGATGAGTACTTTATATGTATTATCACATTCATTCTTTTTTTTTTTTTTTTTTTTGAGACAGAGTCTCACTGTGTTGCCTGGGCTAGAGTGCTGTGGCGTCATCCTAGCTCACAGCAACCTCAAACTCCTGGGCTCAAGTGATCCTTCTGCCTCAGCCTCCCGAGTAGCTGGGACTACAGGCATGCGCCACCATGCCCGGCTAATTTTTTCTATATATTTTTAGTTGTCCGATTAATTTCTTTCTATTTTTAGAAGAGATGGGGTCTCACTCTTGCTCAGGCTGGTCTCAAACTCCTGAGCTCAAACTATCCACCTGCCTCGGCTTCCCAGAGTGCTAGGATTACAGGCGTGAGCCACCGCGCCCGGCCACATTCATTCTTAAGAAAAATCATTCCTGTGAAATGCTGAAGATAGGCAAATGTGAGTCCAGTGCTGTTGGCAGCTGTTGTCCCTGCATAAATAATAATAAAATTTTCATACAAAAGAACTGAGGTGAAAATCATGGA